AGAGGGAGGGAGAGAGGGAGGGAGGGAGGGAGGGGGAGGGAGGGGTCATAAAATATTCTTAGTCACGAGTGATTGTGAATTCCAAGAAATGTATTAAAATATTAATCGAAATTGAATGGTTAAATTTGTTTTTATGTATTTTTGTTTTATGCATTGTATTGTGTGTTTATGGTCTATTGATAGCCAGCAGAAGATGAAATTATAAATATTTTCAGAAAGAAGGAGTATTTAACTTCGTTGAAATTATAATAATTCTCACGATCATATCATTCACGAGAATAAATATCCGTATCCGAGAATAAATATATGAAACTTAGATTTTCAACGAATGGGTACTATTCAACCCTTAAAACTGGAAATTCATATTTTAATTTTAGTTTAAAAAAAATAATTTGCCATATATTGTGAACAGTCATTCACAATACTAATCCCTACACTTGAAATGTGTTCGAAAAAGTATGTTTATATCAATGCAATACTTCATTTAACTTTTAAAGACTTTAATTTTGAAACTAAGGTCCTTGAATATAAGTCATTAATTACCTTAATAGTGCAATGTAACAATTTGTGTATTTCCATTATGAATATAAGCCATTTGTTTATTTAGAAAATAGTATGTTGCTGAAGTAAATTAATGTATTTTCTAACAAAATTATTTTCTTTCACACAGGAAAATCACAACCTAATAACAATATAGTATTGATTTTTTGCAACAAACTATTCAACGACAATAATTTACAAATTGAAAAAAAATTCAAGGTGCTGGCAAATAGAGGATATTTTACTGATCTTGAATCATTCGACTTTCAATGCAATCCTCACCAAAGCGTTCAGGCAATCAATCAATGGGTGAATACAGAGTACAGAGGAATTTTCAATTCTCTACTGACTGAAGGTAAGCCGAAAAAAATACTACAACAGTTCTACTCTTGAAATTGGCATCAATGGCGTTTTTCAATATAACTCTCATACCGGAATCAAAGTGAAGTATTTTCTGACAGGAGTTAACAAGAGTATTTCATATTCTATGCATTTTTCTTACCCCCTATTTCTACTGGTAAATGAGAAGGTTTGATACAGAAGTCAAAGGGGATGATGTGCAGCCCTTCTTGCGCGAGCTTCATCAAAATAATTGACTAGTTCCCCGCAGCCGCCCCAATTATGTTGAAGTCTTTCACAGATACTGCAATATAGTACAGTATGTATGCTGTTCGTCGGTTCGTTAGTTCATAAAAATATCACAGAATTTTATTTTTATTACGCAACACATTCATTAGAATGCGGCCTCTTCATTGGAGCCTTGCTGTTAAGTGACGTCAGCTGCGAAGTAAGCACTGATGAACTGAGTAAGATTTCAGCTGTACGAGAAATATGAGAATATTCTGACAAATACAATAAAATATTTGCGTTTTAAGTTCTATTCAAATCTGTTGCATAGATTTTTTCGTTTTTACCGAGTTCATGGGTATCAAACAAAACTATAAACATCTCTCATATGCCGAAGGGAGCATAGTTTCTTTCAATTTTGCACGTATTAGTAAGTTGTAATATAGATATTTGTTACTTTCTGAAACCTTCTAGACGCTAGATGTAAAATAGTCTGATTTATTGGGGAGTGTTGAAAAATAATTGGCACAACTATTATTTTGAGTTCACAGGAACCATTTACTGAAAGAACTAGTACAGATTATATTACAGGCATTACCAGCCCATGCTCTTTTGCCGTCATTCTGGCAGCTTCCGTATTTACTTAGCAATCCATTTGTTGGCTGTATCCCGACGCCACTGTTCGACAACTACTTGGAGTTCGTTATGAGCGGTAAACTACCTACCCCGCTGGCCCGTTTCATTTCCTCGTCCATAGTTGTCAAGAGCCTGGCGGAAGAACGCAGACGCGTCGATGGGGACCGCCGTCCTGTTTAACCAACCGCGGGCACATCTCCACACCCTTCTATTTCTGCGCACCGGTGAGGGTATGGGGCAACCAATGCGCACACACCTTATTCATCTTCAAATCCTCGTGGGTGTGGGTGTGGAATCTCCATGTGATGGACCTCCTACCTTCTCTAATTCATCAAACGTGATTGGCCATTATCAGGTTATTGACGTGCTGGACATATTTTGGTTGGCGCGCACTTGCTGGATAATTCCTGCTGCCATGAACTACCTATGAGAAGCAACAACACCATCTGGTGGCTGCATTATGTCTCCACGCATACTTCGACACACATTCCAAACTGCTGCTTGGCGGCAGTTATGCCAATCAATATTGAACGAACTAAATATTAATACAAATTCGATTTTTGTTGCTGCTTCACAATTCGAGTATTCATTAGAAAATTGCAGTGCATTTGTAGTGTTTCCCTGTGACAAATACAAGGAAATGGAGCGGCAACAAGAACAATTATAACTAGATATCCACTCTGAAGTAAAAAATCATTTAATGGTAGATACACCAAATAGTGATACGTCATAATAGCTGCCGCATGCATTCGCCCGCAGTAGCGTTTTTTTGTGAACAAGTTATGGTCAATTTTCAAATACGTCTGTATAGAAAATACAAGATCTTTCCAACCTCATATTGAGGTCGAATACCTTAAAAATGGGTAATTTTCAAAGTATGATTAAACTTCGATAAGTAGAAAAAATGAAAGCTCAAATCCTTAATCATTTATTGGGTCCTTGAATATTTTAAAATCAAAATATCATTCAATTTGTTATATTTTTCCTTTAAAATTCCTATCCTGTTATCGTAACCATATTAATTGAATTTCTCTCTTTCTGAATTTGTTTATTTTCAATTTCAGTGCAATAGCTCTTTGTTGTGTTTCTCCTCTTCAGCTTTTTTCGCAAATGTCTTTTGGCTCAAATCATCAAATGGCTTTTAAATATCATATTCGTTGTGGGGATTAAACATTCAAATTCGGAACATGCATTTTAATATAGATTAAGAAAGCAAAACACTAGATGGATATGAAGAAAAAGAAGGAAAGGAATAACTTGATTATAAATGAGAATAAGTTAATGAAATATAAAATAATGTCAAAAAGGTGTGTGGATCACACGCATTATTGTCGTGTACTCTAATATCGATTATTTTTGCTCACGGTCCAAAGACGTAACAAAATATGAGATGTCAATAGAAAGAGAATTTTCCGGAGAGAAAAATTACTGAACTTAAGCTATAAAAATATTTATCTTTCTAGAACAATTGCAAAAAAATTAGGCAACGGAAACGCAATATTGCAACAAATGGGCGCCTCACTGTCTGTGAAGGCAGTATTTATTATGCCTTAAACGGAGAACTTTGATTGCGTACTACTTGAAAACGCCGTAGAGCCTTAAACATTTGCCAGTCACACCCAACTAAAGTTTGACGGTAACTCAGACATAGAAGTGACAGCACATAGAAGTGACTGCTTCAAAAACCCACAAATTAAAAATGTTCCTTGTCTTCCAACCTCAACAATGTAATTTTTTAATTTAAACTAATCATTGAGTTTTGTTCATTTGGACAGTTCTCTCATGCTTTGTATTCAGTAAAATACACGAGACAAGCGGATTACACAGCTCTATTGGTCACTGTTGACGAAAGTTTTGTATCAAAACTTCACCGGCATACCTAGTATTTAAAAAAATAGTCTTCATTGAGAACTTAATATCTATTTTCTATTGTATTGTGGATGTTTGTACGTTCATGCCCTTTGTTCACATAATTATAAACTCTCTCCCAGATTTGTCAGCACCATATGAGGAAACTACTATCAATTGCAATTCGAAGAATAAAAGAATGAACAAATAGCGTCTGATAAGCGTTTATTCTATCAATTTGGGAATTTTATTAAAATTTTGTGTTCATTCACTTTTGGTTTATGGGGTATGGAATTATAGAATCGATAAACATACCAATAAAACATTTTCGGGGTTCACCGCTCTTCATTTAACATTAAAAAAACACAAAATGTAGTTGAGAAGACAACTTAAATTGTTCCTAGACAAGAACCCTTAAATTGTTTTATTTGGTTAATTAAATATACTCATTAGTTCCATGAAAAATCGTTCATTATCTGTATGCCAACAATACGTGCTTGAATTTTTCAAAATTTAAATTGTTCTTAAACGGAAACAAAAAATATTGAACGTAACATGTAGATAAAGGGGTATAATTTTATCTTCAACATACTAGTGATGCAATTATGCCACTCTTTGAACATTCGTTTCGTTAATTACAATAAATGTAAAGATCTATGTAATTACGCGTAATAATGTACTAGTGATATTTTTGCGTATGAACTGAAATTATGTTATGAACTTTGAAATGAGCACGTCAAAGGCACTTTCGTGCGATTTGCGAACATTATTTTATTACGAATTCATGGAATATTACAAAAACATTCTCTTCTGGTCATTCGCAATATGGGAGGTGACAGCCATGTTGATTTGTATCGTCTTAGTATTCTGTTTACTTTGCAATGCCTTGTTGTTTAATATGACCATGACTTCTTTGCGTTACGTGTACTGCAAAGTAACGTATTCTAATAAATAAAAATTGTTTCCAAGCATGGGTTCTGGTTACCAAGACCAAAGATCTCCAGTCAAATCTTCACTCCGCTATTTAAAATATAAAATGTTATAGATAAATCTCTAAATTGTCGTGGGTTTGAGCCCTAGGGGTATCTCCACTCCGTTCTAAAGAAAGTTCAGCAATTTGAATTTCGCGTAGTGACTTCACCCTTTATTTTTCGGCTCATTAATCAGATGGGAGGTAAAAGAAAGAAATGACGGGGAATCGTGTTTCAACATGCAAAAATTTTTTTCCCAAATAGCTAGTTAATATTAATACTGCTTTTATGTTGACAGACGATATTTCAACGGAAACAAAGTTGGTTCTCGCGAATCTGATTTATTTCAAAGGAAAATGGAAATATCGATTTCACGCCGAAAAGATTCAAAAGTACCCGTTTTTCGTAACGCCAACACGATTCAAAGAAATTGAAATGATGACTAACAAAGAATATTACGGATATCGGTCACTGAAAGATATAAATGCAAGGATGTTGGTGATGCCTTACGCTGGAGACAAATTCTGCCTGGTGATTATTCTGCCCAAAGCAATTGACGGAATCTACGAAGTGGAAGAAAAGATGTCTAAGACAAATCTAATGAAGGTAATGAATAATTGTGTAATGAATTGGTGAATGATATCCTGTAAATGTTTTTCTAATATTTGTAGAATCGAAGTAGTCGAATTTTAATATTTAAATTAAATATTTAATAATACTTTGAAAGGAAAATTTTATGTATAAACCAAATACTCAAAATATTGCTGTAGATGTAATGTATTGATTAATATTGGACATTGTTTTACAAATTCCAAAATTGAATATTTGCCTTTTGACAAGAAGAAGTTGCAAAGGTGACCGTCAGAAACTTAAAGATAAAACGTTTTTGTTCTAAACCTTTAGCTCTAATCAGAAAACCGATTTGAAAAAAAGAAAAGCAAATGCAGGTAAAATTCTAGTCGATTTGATAATTAACCAGACTTAATTGGTTCACGGTAAAATGTCCACAGCAAAAATATCCTCGTGGAATTTATTGTTCATTAGTATGTCCACTTCATTACGGTATTGTGAAATTTCTTTATACGTCCACTGCAAATATGTCCACATGCCTAGATATTCGGTAAAATACAAATTCCCATTAAAAAATTATTTTTTTGTTTATTTATTTATTTCCACAGACCAGCATAACTGCTTTACTTGGATTGTTTTCATACAATAACAACTTAAAATACAGGTATACAAATAAATAAGACAGCAGAATACCTTT